ACCTTCCGTCCTCAGTGTTTCGTCGGCTAGCCAACGACACCTCAAGAGGGCTCGACAGTGACTCTGGCGTCCCAGAGTCACCCCCCTCCGTCCCCCACTCAACTCAGCCCAGCTTACTGACCTCTACATCCCTCCTGCTGCTGAGACCTAACCACAATCTCTCCGCAACCCAACCATACGCGCCAACCCGTTTGACTAAGGCTGTCGAGCCCCACTGGTGCGTTAATATGCAGTTTCAGTGGCAACGGTTCCGTATGGCATACCACCTACCGCAAAACACAATATCTGCCCAACCACCCGTCATTCACGCAATATACACAGGAACGTAATAACTGTAAATACTATACAAACTATACAAATAAACCAACAGACTCTTCAAGTTTTTCAAGAATTCTACGAAATCGTAGCGTGGCGGCCTTTACACAGCCAGCTAGAATCTTTCCGTCTCAACCAGAGCCAGTTGCTGCTCCTTTCTGCTGCTTCAGATAAGTTCTTTACTGTGCGACGCAACTCTTGGCCACTGAATCCAACGTCTCTGAGGAACCGGGTTGTAGAGTGTGCCACAAATCCTCGACAACCCGCTTCCACTGGATAAACCTGGACTCTCCATCCTTGCTGTTCTGCTTCAGTGGCCAGATGAGCATACCGCAGTTTCTTCCTCTCATATGCCTCATCTACCGCATCCTCCCATGGCACTGTTAACTCTATCAGTTGAACAATGCGTGCTGATCCAGACCACAAAACAATATCTGGTCGTAGGTTAGTGGTGGCAATCTCAGGTGGAAAAATAAGCCGTTGATCAAGATCTGCCAGCATCTTCCAGTCCCTAGCAGCTTCCAGTTGTCCTGGGCGAGAATTGGTGTTAGCACCTTTTCTTGGTGGTTGCTCGCCTGGGCGGAGGAATATTGTCTTCTGCGTGTAATGTTTTGCTAGAACAGGTGGCAACTTATTGGTCATGTTACGCTTGCCTTCTAATGCTAAAGCCAAACATCGCAGTACTTGGTCATGGCGCCAAGTAAACCGACCTTGGCTAAGAGCCACCTTACATCCTGTCAAAATGTGCCTTAATGTGGCAGGTGATGAACACAAAGGACAAGAGGGATCCTCTCCTACCCAGAGGTTTAGGTTCTGCGGTGATGTGAGAACTTCATATGTTGACCTAATAAGGAAACTGACCAAACTCTTAATAGACCCAAAACATCACTAAACTCTTAATACACCCAAAACATCACCAAACTCTTAATACACCCAAAACATCACCAAACTCTTAATACACCCAAAACATCACCAAACTCTTAATACACCCAAAACATCACCAAACTCTTAATACACCCAAAACATCACCAAACTCGTAATACACCCAAAACATCATCAAACTCGTAATACACCCAAAACATCACCAAACTCTTAATAGACCCAAAACATCACCAAACTCGTAATACACCCAAAACATCACCAAACTCGTAATACACCCAAAACATCACCAAACTCGTAATACACCCAAAACATCACCAAACTCTTAATACACCCAAACATCACCAAACTCTTAATAGACCCAAAACATCACCAAACTCGTAATACACCCAAAACATCACCAAACTGTTAAAAACCGATACCTGACAACAGTACCTCGACACTCATGTATGATCAAAAGCTGACGTAAAAAAATATATTTTTAAATGTCTTTTGAACTCATTTAGGGTTGATCATAATCTTATATATTGTGGTAAACTGTTCCATAACTGCAAAGGCGCGGTCCCCTCTTGTTTTCAGATTCGTCCTCGGAACAACTAAAAGATTCTGTGACTGAGATTGTAAAAGTCTCTTTGACTTCTGCTCCTGAATCAGGTCCACAATATACGGAGGGGCTGTACCATGTAAAGATTTAATAACAAATAAATAAAATCTTAAAATGAATCCTAAAATAAACTTTTCGACCATTGTAACAGAGAGGCCAGCTTTCATCCTGCACTACCAGAGAAGGACACCCTTGCACAGAGTAGGGATGTGCCGGTATCAAATTTTCATGCAGCGATTAATTGATTGAGCTTTTATCACGTATACGGTATTATCACAATATTTTAATTGCTTAAAAGAAACGGATGGATTGGGGGTATCTAAAAAAAAAAAAAAAAAAAAAAAAAAAACTTTCTTCACAATATGTAATTGTGATTGTCAAAACATTTGGTGACTAAAAATAATTTACTCACATAATGCTGTAAACATATAGAGAAATTAAATATAATGCTTACAATATAAATATAATAATAATATAAATATAAAAATATAATTTTCATTATAATAACAATTATGTAATGAGTAAACACATATTAAAATATGTAATATAGTGCACATATTTAGCAAAATACTCCTCTATAGCTATTTTTTCTAGTCAACTAACTTCCTGAGGTAAATGTAACGTTCTGTGACATAATTGTTCTCCTGCAGTTTTATTGACACCTTTCCGTGGTTGAAAAACACTGATTGGTCGAAATTATGTATACCTTTCGTTAAGTTGTACTGTATCTTTAATAAAAAGTAACAGATGATCGGTTTACTTTAATTGAGGCGCAGAGATCTGTCACGTCACATTTACAAACGCCAAAACGGTATTTATTGTCTGAATTTCATAATAAAATGGACAGAACCTAAGAGCTGATATTTTTTTCATATCATAAGTAACCTGCTCTTTCTAGTCTGTCGGTCTCCATGTCCTCTTTGCTCCGTGATTTTTCTCTGCGTGAGAAAATGGATGTGTAGCGTGAGAGTGTGTGAAAAGTGAGTCTCAAGCTGAATGCGTGAGAGTTGTCAGCCCTGCTTTTAGAAGAGGGATAAATCATATTTCGCAGCATACGCAGTATTTTTTAAGCGGTTGATGGAAAATAAGCTAGTGCGCGTTCTAAAAATCTAAATTCGGATCTATTGGTATTTTGAAGTCCCTGCGATAACAATATCGTGCATATTCATTACCGAAAACCGGCACATGTCTAGCGCAGAGTCACCATGAGGATCCTTAATGACTGCGTAGACAGAGGGTACTGTCGTTATAGCTCTCCACACAGTCTGTACACACCTGAACCAGCAAAACACCTAAGAATGCTGTTTGTTGATTTCAGTTTAGCTTTTAATACAGTTAACCACAAACTGGTTCAAAAAGCAACCTGGGCTTAGGCAGTTCACTGTGCACATGGGGTTTGGACTGAGCAACAGACCCCAGGATGTGAGGATGGGAGATCACACATCATCCTCTCTCACCCTGAACACTGGCATACCACAAGGGGGTGTCCTCAGCCCACTTCTCTTCTCCCTCTTTACCCATGACTGCTCCCCTATTCATCCCACCAACACCATTGTCAAATTTGCTGATTATACCACCATAGTTGGGCTGATTTCAGACAACAATGAGAGCCCAATGAGAGAGGAATTTCAGCAACTGATAAAGTAGTGTATAAAGTGCCCGGAATAGGCTTAAAACATTCCCCTCCATCATCATCTGCTGACCAACTTCTATCGATATATATTCTATCGAGCCTCCTGACCTATTTCTGCACCGTGTGGTTCATCAGCTGCAAAGAGGAGAATGGGAAGGACCTGCGAGGGTGTCGAGGGCAGCAGAGCTTGTCTCTACCCTCCCTAAAGACAAGCACACTGGCCGACTCCAAAAGAAAGCCAGCTAGATTGTAATGGACTCCACTGACCCGAGATATCGCTCGTTCTCCCACTGCCCTCTGGGAAGAGATGTAGACTAAACAGAACCAAAACTAAAATATTAAAGTTTTTTCCCACAAGCAATCAAATGCATAAATCCTCCTCGCCCCTAAGGTGCAATAAACCCATATCATAAGGACTTGAAGTGCAACAAGTTTGCACTGTATTGTGTATATCACATCACTGTGGTTTTCTTTATATACATTTGTGTCCTGTTATTTTGTCTCTTTATATATATTTCCATCCTTGAGAACTGCTAAACTGTTTTTTATTGTTTATTATTTTATTGATAACCAAGAATCTAATTTAGGTGTTTATAGGCTTATGTAATATCTTACAGTTGCGCAATCTTAAAGCGCTTGAACCCCGTTAATTGCTGTTTGCAGTTATATTTGATATTCAAAATGGCAAGCAAGCGCTGTTTTGTTTTCGGTTTGTATATCTACAGTCCTAGTTTCGGTTTCTCTTTTTGAATGACGAATATAGACTTTTGATACCTGCTAATATAGACCGTTAATGTGCTGTGTGTAACTTTTTCACACTACTAAAGCATAAAAATACCATAGCAAGTTTGCTTAATATCTGCAAACATATTGAGTTCACATACTCGTTTCTCTGAAAAGCACTTCTACAGCCAGTTCTTTTACTCTGAAATGTTTGTTCAGTGTTGGAATGTCTGTTTTTGTTTTGGTCTGTGTGACCAAATGCCAGTTCACCCAATAGTATCTTGACACCCCGGGGTGCCAGTTGGCAGAAAACACAGCGTATTACAACCAGCAAACAAACTGGGTCAGGGATTGCAGATTCTACCCAACCTAAAAAGCCTCGGTATCCATCTAAATATCTCTATGAACGAGAGCATATTAAAACGCGGATAAATCAACTCCTCAACTTAGTGTGTAAATCTCCTCGGTTTTCATTGTCAATTGCGCTCGCTCCTGTTGCGTGTCCTTAAACTGGTAACCCGCGTGCGTGAGCGTCGAGTCTGAGGAACGACGATCTCTGATATTTTGAATTTGGACTGCAGTACCTATTTCGACCACTAGCTGTCATTCTTACAGACTGCACCTTTAACAGTCGCATGTAGTCCTTTTGGTGCGTTCAAGCGCCACTTTTCAGCCCAAAGACTGACAGCTTTTGTTGGCATTAGTTCTTTGACGTCGACTTTGTGTGTCACAGCCTTTAGAGCTGCTTTTATTTAGGCTGGGAAATATAAAGGTGGAAGAAACGTCTCCACTGTATGACAGTTAATGTGGCGTCCTGCATGTTCTCCGCTCATCTCTGGCCTGCAG